ATGCGGAAGGCAGTGGGGCGGGGGGGACCCCACCAGCCGCCGGGACACGCTGTTTGCTGCTCTCGCAGCTGCGCCTGGGGGATTTCTTTTGTCACCAGCCAGAGGAAGCGGGGTCAGGGTGCCGGGAGGGGTGCGCGCCGCTGTGTGCCTGGCTGCCTCCCTGCCAGTCACTGTCAGATTAATAATAGCAGAGCGGAAGAAAGGAATTAAATGCAGCCACTGAACTATATTTAATTTGCGCTATATCCTGGAGCCAAGGAACTAGTTCAATAGAGACTCTTATCAGCCTGTTTGAAGGGTTGAGCTTTTTATCTAGCAGTTGTTTTACTACCTGGGCTCACAATCACAAATAACTGAATACAGGCGTGTAGACAGACGAAGCTTGGGACTCTCTCCCCTTGGGCTATTCTCCTCTCGGGGGTCAGCGTTTCACCATGTGCCCCCTCCCGAGCCCCCGGCTGTTTGCTGGGTCAGCCCCGGCATGGGGAGCATCTCTGCTGCCTGGGCCATCCCCATGTGACTCGGAGAGGTTTCTATGACAAAAGGGTCCTTTCCACCCTCCTGCATTTGCCCGAGCTGGGAGGGAAGCAAAGGGCTTGGAAACGCTGAGTTTCAGAAAGGTTCTTGGCAGGTTTTACCAATGCCGGTGCTTTTCCAGAAGCAACTGTGATGCTGTGCAACCCAAACTGGGATATTTCTTTGCATGTTTTTATGAACCGAAATGCTCTTCCCCTTGGGCCTGCGCGCCCGGTGATCCCAGGGCTTTCATTATTTACTCTGACAGTCTGCCGGCTCCTGCGCTATGGCCTGTCGCAGCCCGCGCTGCAAATCATCTCTCAGCTTGTCACCACCGAGATGGCAATTTTACAGCTGGCAGCTTCAATCACGGTGAATTTGCCGCTCGCGCTAGCTCTCTTTCTCTCTCTGCCATGTGATGGTTTAGAAAACCGCATGAAGATTTCCTTCCTGGCTGAAAGGACTTGGGATCTGATGAACACGGTGGTGCTCAGCTGCGGTGGGCGGGCAGTGCCGGGTCGGCATCCTCGGTGCACCATGAGGCCGCCCAGCCGTGGGCGATGATGGGTCCACGGAGCCATACAGGTTGTGCTGCTCGTCTGGCTTTTCCTCCCTGTAGTTTAAATTATGAATGGAATTTCTGGTTTTTCTTATCAGCTCCAGCATTTCTGGAAAGGGCTTTGTTTCCAAGCAGGTGTGTGGTGTGTGTGAGTGGAGGAGCAGCCCCAAAACGCCCGGGAGCATCCCTGCAGTCTGTGCCCCGCTCTGTCCCTGGCAGGGACATGGTGCTCCCACACAGGGTGCTTTTACATGTTCCACACGAGGCAGGGGGGTTAATGTTTAATATCAGATTTACTCATTTGGTATATTGACGTTACATTTTGATTTAGCAGAGCGATACAGCAGTGTACTGAAATCACAGCACGGGCACAACACAGCAATTGCAACATACACCCGAGTCACTACATAGATGTGATGCCCGTCCCCAGCCTCTATACACTCAGCGCCACGGCACTGGGCATCCCCAGCTGCCGGGAAGGGATGTGTGGGTTGAAGCCAGCTCAAGCCCGTTGCTCTCTTCAAAGTTCATTTTACTACTTGTCCAGGTTTTATACTCTCTGTTGGGCTGGGCCACATATATGCTCCCCCCACGCTGGTCTGGCTGGCTGAGGAAGACATTACTCTCTACTAATTACCTCTGGGAAGGCTGTTTGTACAACCTGATGATGCCCTGGTGCAGCTGTGTGCCTAAAACCAAGGTCACCCTCCCCTCCCCAGAGTTAAGTTCAGTTTCCACACGGTAATCGCTGGTGGGTCCTTACATTCTGCCCAGCGCTCGGGATTTTTGGCTTATCTCCTCTGAGCCTTTTTCCGTTGTGGGGGATGTTGGTTGGTCATGGAGGGTTTCAGCTTCATTTGCTCCTCTTCTCGTGTAAGATGAAGTTTGCATTTTACAAGCTATTGCACACACAGCAGGGTGCAGCGGCAGGTAGCAAGCCCTGGCAGGGCACAGAGACCGCTGGGGTGGGGGGAGTTTCAGCAGACGCCTCGCTCGCCTGCTCCGCGGTTCGGGGTGCCGCGTCGGGGTGCAGGTGCTAACCCGGTGCCGTCCGTGCAGGAGCAGCAGCTGGCAGAGCTGGCGGCGGTGCGGCAGGTCCTGCAGGCTGACCTGGGGACCTCCATCCGGCGCATCGCTGACCTGCAGGTGGCCCTGGAGGAGCTGCGGTCCAGCGATGAGAGCGATGCCGAGAGGTGAGACGAGGAGCACCGGGGGCTGGCGGGGCTGTGGGGGCTGCAGAGGGACAGAGGGGCAGGCTCAGATGCTTTGCGGTGGGGAAGGATGCTGCACTGTGCAAGGGTGATGCCATGGTGGCCGTAAGCTGCACATCTGCATCCTGGAGTATTTTCACTGCAGCAGCACAGGTCCATGAACAAGAAAATTCATGTTAATGAAAGGTTTCATGAAAAAGCGTCACCCTTAAAATCATATTGTGTGGCCCAGCTTAAAGTAAGCAAAAAGGGTGGAAATAGCCCCATTTGCAGAGCAAGCTCCTGTCCCTAGCAGAGTGGCGTGCTGCTATGTGTCAGCAGGTGCCCCAGCACTGGATTTATGGATTGAAAATCCTGCACTTGCTTCAGCTACAGGAGCTGGGGGGCTGGAGGAACCGGTGAAGCTGGGCGGATTGGGTAGAGGATTTTGCTAGGAAAAAATGGGAAACAAATTCCAGTGAATTTTTCAGGTGCTATTTCTACAGCCCTCCAATTTTCCCCTCTGTTACACTGCTAAAGGGGCTTTGTGACAAATGGAGACAAAATAGGTAAATGCATTTAAAAAAAAAAAAAGCAGAGATGTGCTTGTCACCATGCCATGAGAAGAGATTCTCTTTATGTAGTGATTAAACTAGGGAAGGGTGAGATAGAAACCGTGAGCTCAGAAATTCACTTCTTCCTAAAAAAAAAAGGTGATTTCCAATACAATTGACACATTAGCAGGAGGTGAGAAGTGCTTCCCGGCAGGGACATCCGCAGCTGCTGTGTGCAGGAAAAGCGGTGTAATTTGCTCCCTGCCCTTCACCAGCACGGGCACAGCGGAGGTGTCCTGCGAGTGCAAATGCAACATACGCTGCAGCAGCACCCATCTCTGTGATGGGGGTGCATGCACTGGGGTCCCTCTTGCAGACCAGGGCCTGAAGGGTGCAGGGAGCAGGTGAGGAGGTCTTTAGCCATGCAGCGTGCTGGGAATGGCCCCACCGCTGCCCCACTGCAGCTCTGCTCGGGCCGTTGGGGGGGGTACGTTACCCAACTCAGGCGTAATCCTGCTCTGATCGTACGGGCAGCCACAGCAGCAAGCTTTGATACAGTTAGTCTGGGAAGTTTTCATCACATCAGACTCACGCGGTGGCTTCGGGGAGGCTGTGCGAGCCATCGGCAGCACCGCAGCTGACTCTCTCTTTTGTCCCTTGGTTGCAGCGTGCAGACGGCGCGGGAGTCGCTCTGCTCCAGGAGGGAGACGTGAGTGAGCCCTGGGGAGCTGCCAGCCGAATGGCAGGAGCCTGCACTGGGTTGTGCGATGGGTTATGGACCACCAGCTGCCCGCAGCCTGCTGAGGCACCACTCGGGCACAGATGGGCTTTTGGATGCGCTGGCTTTGTGTGCCTCCCATGCCTGTCGACCTGCTCGCTTTCCCTGGGAGCTCTGTCTGTTAAACTGAGCGGGATGCGCTCATTCCTCCTGGCTGCACTTTGAGAATATGAAGCCGATCTGTGGCTTTGAAGGAAAACGGAGATCCTAAAGGATTTAATCTGCTGCAGCTGGAGTGTGGGGTCCCAGCAGGGGGGCAGCGGTAGCGCCAGCCCAGGGGTGCATTAGGGCACAGTGGGGCGCCCGGGGTCACGCTGGCTCTGCCACTGCAGCTCCAGTCCTGGGGCACTGCAGGCAGCAGCAGGGTTTTCCTGCCCACTGTCTACAGGCTACAGGGCACTTATAAAAGCATGAGGGAAATAGTTAATGGCAGCAGCAATGGCACAAGGACCAGGTTGTCTGAAAAGGTTTGTTTTGTCCGATCTGTGCCGGTGCCACAGAACAGCCAGAGCAGAGCCCACCAGCTGGAGCTGCCATTGCTGGAGCTGTGAAGGAGTCTGCGGTCTGTGCCTGGTCTCACCCTCACATGTGCTCCAGGACCCCTTCCCAGTGACACCGGCCCTCTTGCCTGTGCTTGCAGAGCTAACAGAGTCTCACCTCTCCCCGCAGGGATGCCTGCTCCAGCGTCGGCTCCACGCTCAGTCTAGAGCCTGCAGAGACCATCAAGTCCTGGCCGGGGTCGTCGGTGGGCTGGTCTTCCCCGGTGGGTGCCAGCGTGGCCGGGAGCCTCTCGGCGCAGTTTGTCAGCAGCCGCAGCACCCACAGCCCGAGGTAAGGGGCCCCCAGCCCATCCTGGGCACAGCCACCTCCAGTGATAACAGACGCGCGGCTGCTCCGCTTGCACAAGGTGCCTGCCGCAGCTTTCCTCCAGGAAAACTGCAAGTGCTTGGTGCCAGGTCCAGCATCTTGCAGATGCATGGATGGTAGAAAAATATCTTGCAGGAGCAAGCCATCACAAACGTATTTTAAACCCTCCTGTATTTTTACTTAAAAAAAAAGTGCAAGAGGCAGGAGTAGGCTGCAGGCAGCGCTGATTTCTCAGCGTTCAGGCACAGAGAGGTGGCCGTGGGCATCCTGCCCTGTCGGGGTGTCAAGGACAGCAGGCAGAGCTGGCAGCCCTGGCAGCTGCTCTCCCATCACAAGTGTCTGCATGGCCCGACCCTGCAGCCTGGCAGGCAGGTGCTGCCTGCTCTCCTAGCTCCGGTCTGCCGGGAGTTGTGGCTGCTCGTGGCCCCTCGAATGGGGACACACATGCAGTGGGTGCAGCCCGTAACTCCCTCAGCAGAGCCGAGCATCCCAAACCGCTGCGTATCCTCAGAGGCTCCCACATGCTCTCTTTGGCTTTTATTTTCCCGTGGAAAAAATAAAGTCACCTTTTATGGGTGACAGATCCCACGGTGCAGTGAGGAGCACCGCGGTGGCACCACTGCAATGCCGGCAGCTGCTCGGGAACAGGGAAGCCCCCGCAGCTCATCACGGGGTGTTGCAGATGCTGGCCCGGGGACAGCGGGCGCTTCGGCTGCGCTCCTTTCAGGGCGTGCAGAAAGGAGGTCGGGGGGACCCGTGGTATTTAAGGTCAAAACATCAAATCAAGGAAGGTAGTCGCTGCCACACCAGGATCAGTGAAATGCTAGATGAAAGTCGCTACATCAAAAACATGCTTCAAGCAGTATAATATCCCTTGATGTGTTCTCTAGAGATAATTTAAAGAGGCAATGCAGCCTATTTGAGGATTTGTACGCCATATGCTCGCCTTTCGCTGCTGAGGAAACAGTATGCATTTATACAGTTCTAATATAAAATATGCTAATTTTTGACGGTAATGCTAATGGGCTGTGAGGGAGTTGGAGAGTGGCCCAAGCACTCGCATAGCAAAACTGCCTCAGCTCGGCTCCCGCTGCTGCTCTGGGGTGCTTGGCGGCAGGGCTGCCCGGGCCATGGTGGGTGCCCAGGCGCCCAGCCCCAGTTGAGGCCACCTCGCCTGAGTGCCTGTCAGACAGACCCTCCAGCCCAGAGGCAAACCCATGGTTTTACAGCTGTCCCCGGCACTGCAGGGTCACAGACAAACCATTTCTTTGTGTTTCATGTGTGAAGTAATTGCATGGGTTGAGTTTTGAAAAGCCCTGTAAATCAGGGTCTGGTGGCTGCATCTCAGAAGGGAAGTGGTGGGGACAGGGAAGGGCATCGGGTCTCCTTGGAGGCTTGGGAGAGCCGTAGGTGAGCAGAGATGGAGCTTTGAGTCCTGGGGTCAGAGCAGCGCGGGGCTGAAGTGGCTCCAGAGAGCATCATCCCCACCTAGGGAAGGTGCATGCAAAGACCTGCAAAACAATAGCTTTGTAACAAACAAAAGCACGCTTTTTTGCATAATGCATGATCTGTAGCACTGATTGCCGTGGGACGAGGTGGCAGCCAGCAGTGCACACGGGGGGAAAGACCGACTAGCCAAATCCACAGTGGGCAGGGCTGGTGGTACCCCTGCCTGCAGCCCCGGTGGTACCCCTGCCTGCAGCCCCTGACTCGGGGCCTCCCTGCTGCACTGCTTTCCTGGGGATGATGTATCGGGACATGCATCACTATTTTCCTGGCTTTTCCTCCCATTCTCCCCTGGAACTGGGGTGGTGGCCAGGCTGACACTTGGCACAGCTCACTGTGGCACCCGCCTGCTCCCTGTTCATGTGCAGGTTCATAGACAGATGCTCCGAGCCGATAGGGTTTGATAGGGTTTGCAGACTGCCATTTCATTGCAGACATTAGTATTAAGCTCCCTGCTCTGATTTTGGTGAGGTCTGTCCCCACTGCTTTCACCTGTTTTGTACAGTAAAATAACTATTGCCAGAATTAATTTTCTGAAGAGCAAGTCCCCTGGTAGCGGACACCTCGAGCATGCTAGAGCAGTTTGAAGCGGTCCATTGCTTATACACGGCAGAATTTAAGGGTGGTCAGCAGGGCTGGGACCTGTGGGGAGGTGCTGGGTGGGAGCCCTGAGAGCAGCCGGCAGAGCTCACTGAGACCCTGCACCCCACCGCAGCACCCATCAGAAAAGTAATTCCTCAGTACTGCTTACAGGTCTTCGGTCCAAATAACCCAGCTCTGATTATAAATGAATGGCAGCAAATCAGAAGTTATGGCTAATATCATATTTCTGAGCTGAAGTACACTGGATTTATAATAAAAGGGCAGGTATGTAGGCTTGGGGATTAATAAAAATGACTTACTGGACTGACTGTGGCCATTGTGAGAAGCAATTTGTACCTAGACCTGGAAAGAGTGTGACAATCTGCCTCCATCCTGGGGGTCATGAAGGGGTGAATTGCAAATCCTGGTGTCATAGCTGTGTTTGGCTTCAGCTAATCTAAGATGGAAATATTAAAGAGCAGGCTATATGAAATGCAAACAAACAGACGATGAGACTGGTAAGGTAATAAAAATGAGATCAGCGAAATGAACTCTTCCTTATTAAGATTCCTTTGTCTTACACAAGCACCCAGTAATGAAAAAGGAATCTTCCTAGCATTCACTTCTCAGCGCTACATATGGGATATTTCCTGAACAAACAGCTGCCAAAAGCCAGAGGAAAGCATAGAAGGCTGTTATCGTCTGTGTAGTGTATGGGAATGAGAGATTTGATTAACGTTTTCTTTAATTCTCTGCTATTTAAGTGCTTATACAAAATGTTGGCCAGCAGGGCTAAGCCTCAATAAATACAGCACATTGCAGAGTTGGAATAAACTATTAGTTTTTTTTTTCTTAGGAAGCCAATTCAAAACTTTATGCATTTATTCTGCCCCTCGCCAGGCAGGTCAGGGTTGCATTGCGATAGAGGGGCTGATCCGGAGGTGCAGCAGGGAATGGCCCTGCAGCACAGGGCTCTGCCTCTCGGTTCCTGCATCCCACGGCACCGCGGCATCCGCAGCTCTGGCATCACCCTGGCATCCCTTCCTCTTCTGCTTTGGTACAGGAAAGCAGGAGCCTGGGTCCCAAGGCTGGTGGAGATCCGACACATTTATTTTTAAACATCATTGTGTCAAAAGCAAATCATTGTATGGGAAACTGGGAGCTCTTCTGTAGATGACGGTGTGACAAGAAAATCCTCTTCTGACAGAAATTAGGCCAGTCTCTTTTCTATCCCTGAAATGGGGTTGTCTTGGCTTTATATATGAGCTACCAGGAAAAGCATCTGAGCCACACTTTCATCCCTGGTCATGTGTTGCAATGCATGTGTGGATTTTTATTGTATAAATTATTTCAACTAGCATAATTGTAATCATGTTAATTGCTATGTAATCTTCGCTAATTATTGTTGTATGTCATTTGCTTTGGTGTGAATGGCATATTGCAGAACTCCGTTTGGCTTACAGATGCCTTCTGAGTTCTGCATCGGGCCCTGCTTTTGCCTTTGGCTGGGGAAAATCATCTCCGACGCCGAGGCAAGGAGTGGCGGTTTGCTCGGTGGCCGTAGTGTGCTCGCGGTCCTGCCTCCTGCAGTTCACCCACCACCAGTGCTGCCTGGGGCTCCCAGGGGTTATTCCAAGCCCTGGGAGTTATTGCCGGCACGTCAGCCCTTAGCCTGGGATTTATGGATGAGCAGAGGATGCTGCAGGATGGGACCGTCTCGCACTTGTGCCCTGCCTTGTGCGGAGGCTTGAGTACGGCCAAGAGACGATTAGCCATGATTTTGGGATGGGTTTTTTTGGTAGCCATCAGAGTACAGTTAAAGGAACAAATGATGAGGACGGGGTGCTGGTACAGTGGTGTGGGGTGTAGCCGCGGTGGCACAGCTTGACCGGTGACAGGGGACAGCAGTCCAGCCTCCCCGGCTCAGCAGCCCAGCGGGATGTGGTAGCACCAGCACCGGCCTCTTGGCTTGTTCCGTCAGAAACCTGTTGCATGGGAGAAATTACCTTGTGGTCCCCAGGCTCCTTTTGCAGAAAGTGATTAATTGAAAAGGAGGTGTGATTTCAGTGCACCCGTGGCGCGGGAGCAGGGGCTGCTGCCTTCGTACGCGCTGGGGCACACAGCGGCAGTGGCTGGTGCCGGGGTGGGCGGCAGCTCGGAGAGGGAGGGTCTCCAGAGGTGGGCAAAGCAGGTTTTGGCTTCCTAGGAGGGGAGGCGATAACACATTTTGCTGGAAGGACCTGAGCATTTTAGATGCTGGAAAGCAAGAGGAAAAGCATCAAAAGCAGATAAATCTCTGCAGTGTTTCCCCACCGTGCGGTGCCTTTTTGCTACTAGTGTAAACCTTGAGGAGTATTTGCATTTTCATTTAAAACCCAATCAGGCCCTGCATACGCTCGCCAGGCAGCTGATGCTGCTTGGAGTCAACATGCCATGACCCTGGCGCCCAACCTGCCGGCACCGGCACCGCACGCACTGACCATGGGCTGCTAAGCCATGTCCGGAGAGATGCGGCTTCCCTAGGGAAACCAGCCCTTTCCCTGGCGTGTGCGGCTGGGCTTCGCTTGATGAATGCAGCTAATAGGAACTGTTGGGAGCGACAAGGATGGATGGGGTGATCTTGGGCTTCAGCTCTCCTGCTGAAAACCGGGGCATGGAAAGCATGGGCAGGAGATGCTCCATTACACAGAGGTCCCTGCTGGGACCCCAGGGGCTGCGGGGCCTTGGTGGCCAGACTCGTACTAGCCATGGAAGCTGGAGAAACAATCCCGTGTTTGCAGCTCTCACTCTACTTCAGGCTCTAAAGATTTTCATAAAAATAATAACTGTCTGTCATGCTGAACAGGACAATAAGTAGCAGCATGTAAACCATCCGTGTTCACAGTCCATTAGTGTTTCTTACCTCTCCAGCTCACTTTTATCTCAGTCTTAAAAACCAAAGAAAAATATTGAAGCTGGCTGTTTAATTTATGAAAGTCAGTCGTGCAGCAGTCAGTTTACAGTATTATTTGGAAACGTAGAGAGTGATTGAAGCAATTTCCGTACAAATTCTCATGGAAGGATTACACCAGCTATTTAGGTAAGATGCAATTTAGGATCCTAAAAACCAGCATTATCGAAATGTCTCAAACTATTAATCAGCTGCAAGGCTTCAGCAACGTCGGGTGCAGCGGTGCGGCGTAGCCCTGGAGGTTTCTGCGTTCCAGGGAGATTAAATCTCTGGTTAATTCATTTTGCATTGGATAATCAAATGGTCTGTGCCTGTTTAATGAGCTGTGGGCACACAGCATGGTGGTGAGTGCCAGGGCCAGGCGGGCATCTCCGTGCCCTGGGCTGTGCCAGTGGGCGCCGGGGACCTGAAGCCGATCCATTACCCCATCACTTCTGCAAGTGCTTACGTTTCCCAGATGTAGAGTTGGTCTTCAACCCACCTCAGCATGTAAATTGTTTCACGGGTCAGCGGAGCCTGGTCCAAACGGGTCCCGCGCGGTGGCTGGATTATCTGCTGTCACCCCAATCCCATGGCAATCCCAGCATTCCCGGGGCAGGATGCTTCATTACCAGCGATGTAAAACTTGACCACTGCTCCCGCACCTTGAAGCCTGCTGGCCTTCTAGAGGTGTATTTGTATTTAGGTTCTGCTGCATTACTCTACCCTTTGCTCTCTTTTTCCTTCCTCCTTTCTCAGACAAATTCACATCCCGGCAGCCTTCTCGTTAAGGCCAATTCCAGGTCCCCTTTGGCTGAGTGATGCCGGGGGTATCCGCGAGTGGGGCTAATCCACTGGCGGTGCCGGTAGCTGCCAACACTAGGCACAGCCTTTGTCAAAAGACATCGCTCGCAGGCACCTATGCTCCTCCTCTCACCGGCAAGCGGCTGTGTGTGAGCAGCTATAAGATAGTAACTGGCTATCATTGATCTAAAGCGACGTACCAAAGAGAGGTGCGGCGCAGCTCTGCAGAGTGCCTGCTTTGTTTCAGATGTGTCCTGGCAAAGAGGCCCTTTGCCTTTCCCTACAGTGGGACAGGCAGAAAATGCAGTTTTTCAGCCCTTCAAGCCAACGTAGGTGCTTGGCAGGGGCGGGGGGGGCATGTAAAGTGTCACATTGGGAGCTTAGTGTCAGCAGTGACACCAAGCCCACCACTGACTGCAGCCCCCTCCCCACCTCTGTGCATCAGCTACACAAGGAAGGGGACAGGCTTGGTGCAGAGAAGCTCTTTCTGCAGCCTGCATGTGCCAGGATCCGACCGCTTGGGAGGGGCTTTGGCAGCTGAACAGGCGCCGCATTGGCATCCCGCGGTGCCCGAGGAGATGCGCCCAAGCTCCTGTCCTGGCAGAGTGGGTGCTCAGTGCCATCAAACGCTTTGGGGAGGGACAGGCAGGATTTGGGCGAAGGCAGGACCATCTCCTGCTCCTACCACGCTGCCACCCCATCCCTGTCCCGCTCAGCAAGCGGCCAGTGCAGGGGTGGGAATGGTGTCACCACAGTGGTCCCAGAGCACCTCTTGCAGCCCCGTGGCGAGGAGCAGGAGTTAAATCAGGAAAACCAGCTGGCTGGCGAGGCTCCTCCTGGCCATTGTCTCCTGGTGGGCTGGAACCATGTGCCGGTCCCAGCCACAGACCCGCTGTGTGCTGCTCTGCTCTCAGCACAGAGGGGCATGATATTATTTATTATTATTATTATTATTATATTATTATTGCCCTTTCTGCTGCTCCACATATGCATGCACAAGCTATTACCCTTTCTGCTGCTCCACATATGCACTCTGCACAAGCTGCAATCCTGGTAGCAAGAGCCACAGCTGCCTGTGCTGCGCTGCTGCCATCCCCAATTTGGCACCATGTTCTGGCTAAGCCAACCCTACAGACTGTCCGTCAGCCTGCCGGGTGCGGGCTGCGTGTTCTGGGAACGGTGTCCTACTGTGACGGTGACCGGCGTGGCTCCTCTTTGGCAAGCGGAGGGGAAGCCCACACGGTTCCTGCCATCCGCATCAGCCCCCATTTGCAGGGTGAGGTCCCATCCCCACACATCACTTCTGTCAGTCGCTCTTCAATGAGCAGCCCCTGGCCAGGCGTCATTTGGCTCTTGCAGTTCACAATTGTTTTCCCTCCTTAGCAGGACCCTGGGTGAAACGTGCCCCGCAATAACGTTAAGATGCATTCGGGGCACTCTGCAAGCTGGTTTCATAAAATTGTAGTGAATAATCTTTGGCTTTGACAAAAATAAAATAAATCCTACATATTGCTATAATCCATCGAGAAAAAAGGACATTTGGAGGTATGTGTTCGTTTGGCTGAGCTAAAGGCGGTCACGCCACACACCCTACACCGTGGGTTTAGCCAGGTTGGCTGACTTAAGTTATTTAAGATAAAATCTTTGGGCATTGCCCAACTGCTCAATGCGGCAGCAGGAATTTATTCTGAGACTACCATGCCAATAACGGCTTTTCACTGCTCAGCCTTGTCCTTGCTGAATGACGTTACGGTCACTGGAAATCACACAGCTTAAACTAATGCCAATATCTGTTGTTTAGGGTGGGCAGAGACACAAAGGAACCAGCAGCGAGCAGGCCAGCTTCTTCCCTGAGCTCTGCCAGGTCCGTCGATGCTGCGGATCTGGGGAGGATGGCGAGTCCCTTGCTCGGTGCTAGAAGACGGGAATACAGAAAACCTCCGGCAGACGAAGAGGAACTCGAGAGCCCGAAAAAAGCTGCGGATAGGATAGGAGAGACGTCCCCGCTGGTGCTGCGGCAGGGGGGCTCCCCTGCCCCGGATGTGCGGTTCCCCAGCCCGCTATCTCCGACGGTGCCGAGGAGGAGAGGGCTCTCTCCGGCAGCAGGGCCGGTGCCCAGCTCGTCAGCCGCCCTCTCCGAGTATGTGGAGGAGCTGCGGCGGCATCGGGGAGCGGAGCGGGAGCAAGGGTGCCCAGTGCTGGGCGACACCTCTCCTCTCCCCATTTACCGCACCACCGGTGCCGCAGCCCTGCGGCGCTGCAGGGCTTTCCCAGTGGCGGAGGAATCCCCAGGGAAGCTTGATGGGAATCAGCTGGGGGAAGGCGAAGGAGCAGGCGCCAGCCTTGTCCGCTCCTCCAGCCTGCGGAGCATGGCCTCAGAGCTGGCCGAGCCGGCACGCTCTCCGGCGCTGAAAAGAGCATCAAAGTTCGGCTCCTACGACTCCCTCCTGCAAACCTTTGATGGCTCCAGCCGCCGACCGAACTCTCCAGCTGCGGGGATGGAGGCGCTGGGCACGCTGCGGCCGAACTCCTGGAGAAGCTTCCTGGAGCCGTCAGTGGAAGATGTGGAGGTGGGAAGGGGATCTGGGGGGCTCCTGAGCTCACCATCCAGCGACGGGCTGGGCGAGGGGAAGGGGAGCGACCCCTTCAGCTGGAGAATACCCACCCTCAACTATGAGAGGAGAACCAACGTCGACTTCGATGACTTCCTCCCGGCCATTCGCAAATCCCGCTCCACCAGCAGCCTGGCCAAGCCCAGGAGGGACAGAAAGGACGGCCACCGGCCCCTCACTGTCCGCTTCCAGGATGAAGCTGTAGCAGGTGGCTTGGCATCCTCTGAGACGAAGGGCATGACCAAGCGCAGCCCGGCCCTCCGGGAGGACCCCGGGGACCTCTCTGACTCCTCTTCGTCCTCTGGCTCCCTCCTCTCCTCCCGGAGCACCGACAGCATCAAGCGCCGGCCCCAGAGAGGGGATGGGGAAGGGTGCAGTGGCAAAGCCAGCACCCAGAGCAGTGGGGCAAGCCGCCGGGCAGAGGCAGAAGGGAAGGAAGATGATGTCAACAGCATCATGAGGAAGTATCTGGGAAAAGACTAAGGTAACCGTGCTCAGCCGCTGACCGGCACTAGCTCAGAGCAGCGGTGGCAGGTTTGCAGTGCTGGCCCCGAGCCGCTGCCCCTCCAGCCCACGTGGTGCCTGCACGGATGCCATGGGATGCATGAGGGATGCCCCGGGCCAGTGGGTGTCCCCAGGCTCCCCCCGGCACGCTGGAGCCACGCAGGGCAGGGAAGGCACTGGCCCGGCTTCAGCCCTGATGCCCGGCTGTGCTCCGCGCTCTGCAGCAGCCAGGACGGTGCCAGAGATGCCCTGCGGGGCGTGCGGCACTGGGGATGGCACCCCCCTTGCCCTCTCCTTGCTCCCTTCAGAGCTGCAGTGGGGTGGGCAATGGGGACACTGCCGGTGCCGGGGACAGCCCCAGAATTGGCCACAACACCAGCTCTGAGTCCACTGGGGTCCCCCGGCCTCCTGGTTTCCCAAAGATCATGTCCCCCAGCTCCTACCATGCCACCCGGCAGACACATCCTCCCGAGCCCCGCTGAGCACTCATCCCGGTGCCCATGCTTGTTCGGTTCATTTGCAATTCGCTTTGGCTGGATGCTGGAGGTTTTTAAACATACTGTGGTTTCTTTATGCTCCTGCCCTGTTTCCACCACCGCAGCTTTGCTCAGGACCAGCCGCAGGGACGAGGGACTTTCTTGTTCTCCTGCAGTTACTTGACTCAGGAGTTGGTGCTGTAATTAAAACCCAGCGGCTGCCATAGATGCCTGATAACATGCCACTCTGGCCAGGGGAAGGCCACGGGGGAAGGCCACGCTGTAAAGAGCTGGAGGAACACCAAACCCTCTCCTTTTTAACCCAGAAGGTGCAGCCCAGATGTCTCATCCCACGTAGCACTGCTCAAAAATCAGCTGAATGGCCAAAGGATGCTTTTGGATCTCGGTGTGACACTCAGCAACAGCGGAGCTCTGAAGCTTTTATAATTCCGTAGATATTTGAAGACAGATCCGTACATGCTTTCATGGCTCCTGCCTGTTTGGGACATCTGGGCACATCCCACTGGCTTGCAAGGCAGTGCTGTGGTGCGTGTGGCAATGGGAGGCTGTATTCAGATGTCTGCTTGGTTTTTACACAATAAAGTATTTGCTTCTTTGATATGAGCCTCTTCTTGTCTTTCCTCCTCTGCAGCGAGAGCAGGTCCATGGAAGCAGCGTGGTGCAGAGCCGAGCACTCCTCCTGCCAGCCCCCATGGCTGGGGGCTTTCTCACCCAAGACCCTGCCAGCCTCCCCATCTCTCTGCACTCACAAAAAGCTCTTTTTTCAGCCTCAACCCTCTTTCCTAGAAGAGATCCAAACTTACTCATTTATCAGAGGTTTGTGGCAAAATTATACAGGTACATGAACAAATCTCTCCATCAGTGATTTCTAAGTAATTTGCTTGACTGGGACATTTGCACCAATTTGCACAACCTCGTTGGACCCTCCAGGGTGGCCGCAGTGCAGCAGCAGCTTCAAAAGGCAAATTGGGTGGTTTTCAGCATTTTCTTTTGCCTTTTGGATTCTTCACGTTTATTTCTAATTTAAACGAAAGCCTTGCAGCAAGAGGCATTTTCCTTGTCACAGATGAATGCAAAACCTCCAGATGTGGGTTCACATCAGCAGTTTGCTCAGCCGCCCGTTGGCTGTCAGCATTTCCCAGCAATTCCTCGCTCCCAGCCAGCTCCGCGCTGCCGGCAGCCTGACAGGCAGGAGGCAGCTCCGCACAAGGTGACATTCCCTGCGCTTCCAGGTCTCTCTTTTGCTAGATGCGACTCATGCAAGAAGACAGCAAATGAAGAAATTACCTCTAATTAGTTTAAAATCGGCCTTTCTAATGATTCCGTTCTTTCTGGAAACAAAAATCAATGCATTTTGTAGTTCTTACGTGCCTCAGCACCACCACCCCGGCACACACTCAGCCGTGCACCGCAACCGGGTACGTGTGTCTGGTGGCTGGTCGGATCCTGCCCCTTCCTGGCTGGCAAAGCTGCCGTTCGGCACCCTCAGCTGCCGGCCCTGCCCGCAGCAGCACGGTGCTGGTGCTGGTGCTGGTGCCGGTGAGGGTAATGCGGCGCTCGAGGACCAGGCTGGGTGGGTGGCCCCGGGCTGTGCATCGCCAGGGGGCTGGGACACCCCGTGCTTTGCTCTTTGCAGCGAGTCTTGCTCCCCAGATGGATTTCGTGCTCCTTTGGGCAGGGACTGACGTCTCCTGGGGTCAGATTCAGACCTCAACAGCAAGAAAAACACCCCACACCAAGCCCCAGCGTGGCCCGGCTGCACGGACTGTGCTTCACCCAAGCCTTCCCGGCCTTCCCTGACCGGTCGTAGGCGGGTGTCGTTGCACGTGCAATGAAGATGGTTTATTTCAGATGTTTACCCAGACACGCACTTCGCTTTGGGAAGCGAGGGGCCAGCTTTCGCCACTGCAGCGCGTTCACAGGGTCCCTGCAGAGCCGGCTGTTAGTGGCAGTTTCTGTGAGCCCATTCAGTTCTCTCAGAGCTCAGTGCAACCCCAGTAAGAAAGCATGCATACGTTTTTTTCAATCTTTTTTTTCCCTTGAAACTGGCAAACTGCAGTGCCCTGTGCCGTCACTGCAGTCCCTGCAATTTCACAAACTAAGTGAAAGTCATCTTCTCCCCAGTTGTCTCTGCATAAAGTATGCAACTCAAAGAAAAAAATAGTTTACAAAAATCCTGTACTCCCTTCTGTGCTTTCAGATGAAAAAAGAAAAATCACAGATTGTGTCGTTTGGAAGAGATATCTTCATGGTCTGCCCTTCCAACTTGTCTGGAATTTTTTAATAATATATTCGAACAAACAGTTCAGGGAAAAATTTTACAAAGTGGCACTGGCTGAGCTGGGCAGGAATGGGAACTTCTTCCCAATGAACTTCTTGGCCTGAGTGATGCTGAACCTGTCCTCGCCCCCCACAAACCGCCCCGCTCAGGGGAGGCACCGCGGGAAGGCCTGCGGAAGGAAGTTGTCTGCTTGGGCAGGAGGTTCTGCCTGTCTCCTGCCTTGGTGTGCCAAGACGATGGGAGCAGGATTGGTGCTGGCTGTCCTGGGGGCTGTCAGCGAGACCGAGCTTCAGACAGGGGACGAGGAGGAAACCCCCAGGATCACCTGGACGCTGCTGCAGCTCTAACGAGCTCTTGCGTGCAATTACATCAGCGCTGATGGCATATTGAATCTGATCCTGAGTGCTGGCCCCGCCAGCAATTGCTTCATAAATGAAAGTGGGACCAGCAGCTCCAGAGTCGGGCAATGCTCTTGGAGCCTCCAGAGAAATAAAACAGCTGGAAAAAAGATGCAGTGCAGCTGCAAACAAATCACTGCCTACCTGCTGCTGGGCTGCGAGCCGGAGGCTGCCTGCAGCCCCCCTGGCAGCACCAGATGCTTGCAGGTGGGGGCGAAGGTTGGGGACCCCCAGCAGAGGCTGCGGTGGATGTGGGGGTGACCAGGGCAGGGGCTGCAGTGTGGGGACATGGCACAGGGGGGCCAGTGCACAGGGTGGGGGGGAGCAGCCACAGAGCTGCTCACTGCGAGGAATTTCTGTATGTGTGTGCCATTGGTAGGACTCATTGAGTTAATTGTCCAAACGAGCTGGGCAAGCCAATATAATCTGATTAAACTTCAGTGCGGCGGCAACACTGATATGGTGGGAAAGCCGGGATCCCGCGGCCCTGGGCAGGCAGTTCCCGTGGCACAGGCAGCAGGGGAGGCAGAGTGGGTCCATGCCGTGGGAGGGACGGGAAACGTGGGGTACAGGGCTGTAAGATAGCGAGCAGGACACGGATCGGGGGGGTGAAGGCAGACAGACAAGCAGGAAGAGCATCGCAGCATGGCTTCCTCCCACAGCACCGCAGCTCGGTCGCCTCTTTGCTCCTTCCCTGCAGCACATGGCACTGGGGGGACATGCCAGCACCTGCGAGCGTGTGGCATCTGCAGGTAAGGGGACCCCGGCTCATTCGGCGCAGAGCCGGCTGGTGGCACCGGCGGGGAGGGACACCAGCAGCTCTTGGAGGGAGGGACACCCTGAAGGGCACCCAGCACCCGTGCCAGGAGTTGAGCCCTGCTTAGCATTGTCATCACCTTCGGCCTCTGAAGTCTCACCTACAAACACTGGCTGGATGAGATGTCGGTTTGTGGTTCATTTTTAATCTAATCTCAAAACGCTACATAAATTGCTCATTATTTGGTGGCTGTAGCAAAATGATTCCTTTGACACTGAGCTTTTGATTTGGAATTACGGTGCGTTTGCCGAACATTAAGCTGTTACTATTTAAACTTGCCAAAGAAAAGCAGATTTGTGTGTAATACACTGACTTCTTTTTTTTCCTTTTGCTTTGCGGGACACAAAGGAAATTGCTCTGTCAATTGAAATGGCTTTGCACACCCTTTAACAACAAACCAGGGAAAAATGATGCTTGGACTGGAGCTTTTCAGGCTGAGTCCAGAGAATTGTTTGCCCTTGAAGCAGCCGGAGCAGGAGCAGAGCAATGCTCATGGGCAGTGAGAATGAGCCATCTGTCAGCGCTGGCCGGCAATAAATACTGCGCGTGTACAGCGCAGGGTATGAAAATGCCTGTTCCTTGCCCGCTCCCGAATGCACAGGAGACACGTAACCAACGGCCAGGTCAGTCAAGTTTAGGCCCACAGCAGTTTATAGCCTGGAGTAGGAGGACAAGAGTTATTCTCTTCGCCCCTGTATTTTAGCCACATTTATCTGCTTTCAGCACAAAAGCTTTGCCGTTTGGTGTTGTGAGGGATGGCACCCGCAGGGAGGAAAGCATGGCTTTGGGAAGGGTGCTGTGCCTGTGGGGTGAGTTTTGCTGCCGAGATGCAAATGTTGCCAGCCCAGTTCGGGGCTGCAGAGTGCTCTGTGCCTTGCAGAGGGCATCCCCTGGGGATGTCCATGTCGCCCTCGGAGAAGGGAGGGTGCTGCCAGCCCAGAGCTCTGCCGGACGGTGGGCGTCCTTCGCCTGAGTGCACCTCAGAGCCTGGATCAGGCCGGTGCTGAGGGTAACCCCCCAGCACCCCTGCTCCCGTGCTCCCCTGGCAACTGGCTGCCTCCGTCCCTCTCTGAGGAAGGCAGACACTGGGAAGGGGAAGTGTCTCCACATCAGACAGAGAAGCACCAAGCAACCGAGGCTGCCAAGTTTCTAATTAGCATAATTAAAGCATGCTCTTCTCTTCCAATGGATGTGCCTTCAGAGAGCCTTCATCAGAGAAATGATCTCTGTAAAGAGCTCCTTCATTTGCAGGTTGCTTATCATTCAGGATTGAGAGTGTCCAAAGCCGTCCCGCCGCTGACTGCAGCGTTCGTAGAGCCTGGACCCGGCTGTTCTGCTGGCAGACGCTTTCTTTGGCACATCACACCCGTAACTGATGGAGAATCGAACGCCGGAGCGGGCAAGCCAGGCAGGCCCGTGTGCTGCCCGGTGCACGTCACCAGGCCAGGCAATGCACGATCCCTGCTGCAGGGGGTACCGGGGCTGGCGACCCCCGGGAGCTCCCCATCATCACCCCTGAACCGCAATGCCTTCGCAGGAGCTGGGTGTCGGGAATATGCTCTGTGGTCCCCTCCAGTGCTCTCAGGGAAGTCAGGGAACTCCATTTATTATACTTCCAAGTTTATTAGCTGGGTATGTAAATCTCTTTTCAAACAAATAAGCTGGTTTTCCTGGTGCCTGCATCTGGAAACACTCCGCTTTGATTCGTAACTGCTCAGTGGGATGCCAAGCACGCGGCGGTGCACATCCTCACCGCATCCCTCCTGGGGATGGGACCTGGCAGAGCAGCCGGGAATTCTCCTGCAGGCTGGTGGCTCCGGCAGCTGGGAGGGGAGCAAGAAGCCTCCCCCTCCCCTCTGCCTGCGCAGGCAGGGCTGGGCAGTGTTCTGCTCCCACCACGCATGTGACAGGATTCAATTTCACGCCTGTTGGATGCAGGGAGTTAATACCAGATTGCTGCCATGCACAGAGCCTTTCTGCCACTTAAATGTGTCCCTTTCCAAAGGGAGATATAATTGAAATTATTCTTCCTGCGGGTGGTTCAACAGGCGTGGAAGCCTCCTCTTGCTCTCCTCAATGTTTGCCATTGTGGCTGGTCTCGC